ATGCTGAATGTGGGTGAAACTTAAAAGGTTTTGCTTTGAAAGAATGATGGGGACTCATGAACTTAAACCAACAGTGCTGCAGTAAATATGTGCAACTGGTCCCTGACAGGGATACAGCTGCTTCTGGCATTGAGGGCCAAATTCCCATAACCAAGCAAACTGTGTTAGCTCCTTACAAAAAACATTCACTGACTGAAGTGACTGGGAGGTTTCACAGTATACAAAGCTTATTTAATGGTGGTGGTCCTTGTGACATTGGCCTTCTTTGAGGTCTTAATATATTGAGAATCAAATCTGACTGTTTTGGGGGAACAGAAGCCTGAAGTTTAATTTTTACTCTTCATTTAGAAATTTGTGCAGTGTCCAGGATTTCAAAGAAGGAAATAGGCCGATGCTTTAAACTGATTTTGAAGGCTCTTGAAACCAGTGTTGATCTCATTACAACTGGAGACTTCATGTCAAGATTCTGTTCCAATCTGGGTCTCCCCAAACAAGTACAAATGGCAGCAACACATATTGCCCGTAAAGCTGTGGAATTAGATTTGGTTCCTGGGAGAAGCCCTATCTCTGTCGCAGCTGCAGCTATTTACATGGCATCACAAGCTTCTGCAGAGAAAAGGACACAAAAAGGTAAAACCTCCTTCCTTTTTATCTTCCTTCCCTATGTCTTACTGCTTGAAAAAGAATTGGACGTTACTGAAAAATTTGGATGAGGTCTGTGCAAGGAGTGATAAGCTGCTATTCTAATTGCATACAGCAAGGACCAAACCAGGATCTCTTGCTCCCCAAATTGAAAACAGTAATTTGCTATGCTCAGTATAAACCAAGTTCACTTTCTTCTGGCCCTAGGAGTTGGATTCTTGAATGCAGTGGACCAGTGCATTCAAATTAGCGTAATTTTAGCTTTACCTGTGCTATTGGTATGTGTACCTTCTGCGATAAAAAAACTCCATATGCAAACCAGGGGCAGTCACATGTAGTGTTATGGCTTTAGATTACAGTCTTTAATCAGTCTAGGAGCCAGGGAATCACCTAAGCCTTGATGAAGATTGGAAGTGGTGGGACAGCAGGCTTGGATAATAGATCACCTTTGGCATTACCCTCTTCTGGTACGGTAGCCCTTAGGAAGCCAGGAGAGAGTTCAGGGCTGCTCTTGAGCTCCAGAACAGTGTGGATCAGCTTCTGGAGCTGAAGAGAATTGTACCTATGTGGGAGCAGTACATAGGGAAGGAAAGGAGCCAAGGCTGCAGTGGTAAAACTTGGTGTAACAAAGGGATCCAAGTGGTAGTAGCTGGCTGTGGGAGCTCTTTTGATGTGTCTAGTCTAGTTCAGATAAGAAACATTTAAAATCTAGCAATTTCTTAGTGGAGAACTGCTTTTAGGTAGAGAATATCTGTAAGGTTGTGGTGCCTTGTTCTGCATTAATCACTGCTATTCTGTTCCTGGAGCTTTTGTCATGGTGACAGGGTCTTGGGCATGTGAGTGATCTAGAGCTCGAACAGCATGGTGCCTTCATCCTTGCTCACATTGAGCTATTGGATTGTCTCTTAAGAGTGATTGTTAAAACAAAATACTCCACACTCCATCAGTGTTCTCAGACAATGCTTTTGTGCAGTTCAAGGTTTGAATTCCAAATTTAGTTAAATATGGAACAAATTTTAAGTGTCTGTTCATCTCAACCAAGTGTTTCCTCAGCATGCTAAACAGTGCTCCATGCCTCTGACACATTTCTCTTGGCCCTCCTCCAGTTTGAAACTAGTATTATTTCAAGGTTGATAGCATAAATTACATTGTGGCATGTGAGAAGACAGTTAAACGTACAAAGTATTAGTCACTGCGGTTAAAACCATACTTACCAGGCTGCTGGGAGAATTGGGAATTAAGCAAAGTGTGTAGCACTTGTTGATAAATCATGCTTGCTGGTTTCTTCTACTCAAACAGCAGAAGTGGAAACTAATCACTTCTCTGTTTTTTGTCTTAGAAATTGGTGATATTGCTGGTGTGGCTGATGTTACGATCAGACAATCCTACAGGCTGATCTACCCTCGAGCTCCAGATCTCTTCCCAGCAGACTTCAAGTTTGATACCCCAGTAGACAAACTACCACAGCTGTGAAATTGTAGAGATACTTTCAATTTCTATTAAACCCCCCCTTATTTCCCCAAAACCAAGAAACTTCTGATTTTTTTGCCTATAATAAAGGATGTACAAAGTGTTAATATTGAGTTTTCATGTTGTGGAACTGGAAGGATACGGAGGTGGAGCACAACTGCTGGGACGCAGCACACATTCCAAGGGTAAACAAACTTGTTGTGTGGCATTTTGTATGTATATATTAGTGGAATGAAATATTTAATGACTGTCACAACAAACTTAATTTCATATTGTTGTACTGATTTAGATTTCTTTTGTAGGCATCTAGTAAGATGTATTTTGGAAAACTGAAAATAAGATGTAATTCCCAAATAAACCATTTTCCAAAAACACCACTTTGTGAACATGACTGCAACTTGACATGGGGTCAGGGGCTGCTTCAGTGCTCTTGGCTCTCCAGTGTGGCTTTAGTATTGGTAGTAAGCCGCACAGTTGAGTGGGTGACTTGACCCAGAGTGCAAGCAGTAGCTTGAGAAGTGGTTAGAATATTTGCACAAGTGCTGCTGGGTTTGTGGGTTGTTGTGAAATGATGAGTGCCATCCTTGGCCCTGTCTCTCTGCTTCGCTTCTGTGAATTTGGCAGAACCAAGTAGCTGAAGAGAAGTGTAAGGACTCTTAGTTCAGCTGAATTCCTGAGAGCTTTGGGATGCAAGGTACTGCACAAAGGAAGGTAACAAGTATTTCTAGTAAGTTTTTGTTGAACATCTCACCCTGTAGCTTGGCTGGCCAGTGGTCAAGCTTTTTGTGCTGTTACATTCCAAGTGTGAGCACTTCCTTGTTTGAAATGATGGGCCAGGTGCTGAGGAGCAAAGGCCAGAAGTTATTCAGCCCACCCTTCTTCCCCCCCCCCCAACTAACAGCTTTGGAAACTAGCTGCCTCTTGACAGTGTCCCTTTGTGTGCAAAGCAACAAATGCACTGAACTGGGAGTCTTTTGGTGCCCAAGTTAATTTTGTATCACAGGTGCAAATTAATTTGAATTACCAAAATGAACAGCTGAGGGATGAGCTTGCTCTACATCTGGTCCTCAGCCAGCCAGAAGGCAGTGCTAACAGCATCCATTGTCAATAGCCCCCACTGTTCTAGTGCTGGTTTAGTTTAATCCTCTTGGGCCGGTTGAGACTATGGCAATGTGGCAGCTCAACATTTTATTCCCTGTGAACAGGAGAGGCAGCACAGTTGTGTTACACTGCTAAGGCTGTTGGTTGCAGTCCTGAAAACTGGTGCAGATGTTGAAGGTGGTGGTCATGGTAGGTTGGAGGGATTGTATTCTAACAGCTAATATATTTCCTTAAACTTTGCTGCAACACTAGTACCTGGGCTTTCTCTGAGCTGCTTGACCTTATCCATGGGAGAAGGTGAGGTGCTTTGTATCGGCAGGGCCTGACCTTTAATGTACTGTTACAGTTTGAAATGCAAAGATGAAGGTTATTTTACAGTGAATGTACTGTAGAGCAGAATGTTAAAGCTACTACATACAGGTTAAAAATGGCTGAAACTTAGATTTACAATAATGCTCTTACTTGAAATGCTTTCAGGCATTATGCAGAACACTTGACATGTGAGTGGTGAGCATTTGCAGTTGAAATTGTTACATACAGCACAAGCTGCTTGGACTAAAATGTAAATACATCTGTGCAGAGATGAGTGCAGCAGGTGAAGGCAGGGTCATAGCATCCTGACCTGGCCCTGCCTCTTCCTGCCATCCTTAGTATGGAGATAGTAGGAACAGTGTAGCCCAGCATCAGTACTAGCCCTGTACTTCAAGGGGCCTTATAGTCTGAAAACCAGCTACTGCTGGTCCCAGTAGACTATGGTTAATGTGAAGCATTAACCATAGTTAACTAAGCAGAGGAAAAAAAAAAAGTGTAACTAACTGAATTCACTTTTAGGCATTTACAGCCCCTTTACTGAGCTGCTTTGAAGCTAAGGAACATGGCTTCTCTTACAGAAGTCTCTTCAGAAATGAGGTTTCCTGGTATGTGTGATGTCCTTGTGTGCAGCTGTGTGCACGGTACCCCACCAGTTCTTGGGGTTACAGGGGTAGGCTTGGGGAGCTAGAGAGGTTTTTGCAGCTCTGCAACCTCTTAGCTAATTGCCTTCTTGTGTTATTGCAGCTGAGTGGTAGCAAGGGCTGATGGACAAGTAGAGCCTGAAGTGCAAGTGAGGAAACTGGCTGCAGTCCCATAGGTTTGGGGGTCTCTGCTAATGCACCTGTGTTGTTGCAGTAGTGAGCCAGGAGAGAGCACTGGAACACTACAGGCTTGTATTTCCCCCCTGTATAGCATCCTCCAGGCACTTCCTATATTAATTTTTGGAACTGCTTCTATCTTCTATGGAGTCAGCCCTTTCTGAAGTGATGGTGTAGTTGTGTACTGAAGTTGAGCAGCTGTAGGCAATGGTCTCATGTGCAATGTTAGTTTGTTCTCTAGGAGTAAAGGTTTCTTTTCTAACCACATTGAGAAAAGAAAGCTTCATTCTCTGCTTAAAGAACAAGCTCCGTGGGCATATTGGGGTTTGGTTTGTGTGCAGAGCTTTCCTATGTAATGGGGGGAAGAGAGAGATTAGAATGGATAAATACCCAGGGAGGGGAGCAAGCATTGCCTCCCCCTGCCATCCAGGGAAGCCCCTGAAGGGAGAATGCTGGCTCACACTGGCCTGACCACAGTAGCCATGGTCTGCTGCTCCTTTCAGGACTGCTCTCCCAGGCAGGAGGAGGCTGCTTGCCTTTGGCAAGAAACTGGGATTCTCTAAGTCCCCTGGTGATGGCAAGTTCTTTTCTGAAGTTACCTGTGGAAAAAACATGACAAGTCACTTCAAGAAACAGCAAAATCATGTTTGGGACACATTTTACAAATTACTCTATTTAAAACTTTAATTTGTGATATTAATGACTGCAAAACACTTAGAATGACATTTGTTAAAGGCACATTTCATTTTAATGCATAGTGTACCATTCTAAAATAATCCTAATTTCCTTACAAAGTGCTTGAGCAGCCACATACAGATAAAGTATAGCAAAATATATTTACAATCTAGGGTTTAAAATCTTAATCTGCCTAAAAATACTTTAAAAACTACAGAGATAAAATTAGTGCTTTTTTTCAGCTTACCTGGGTGAACAGACCCTGCCCTCTAATTTTTTTTGCCCTTTTTTTTTTTTGTGTGATTTACTTAGATTAAAAAAATTTCTGTACAAGATGTAGTTACAAAAATGGTATTTTTTGAGGATACTTTCAGAAGTGTTAAGCACCCTGTTAGGTGCTCAGATATATATATATATATTTGGGAACCAAGAAGGGCGAGCTGACTGTACCTCAAAAGTCTTGGTTTCAGCTGGATACAGGAACATGATTTGTTTGCTTACTGATCACAGTCTGGAAACAAGTGATGCTGAGAAGTGGCCGCGCTGCCAGACATCGTGTGGAGCGTGGGGAAGCTGCCTGCCTTGTTCCCAGGGGCGCAGCACTTGCACCTAGTAACCAGTGATTTCCTCCCAAAGCCTCTCCCATGCAGGTCTGTCCAGCATCATGATTCTAAACCACCACCTCAGTGCTGCACTCTCCAGTGGCTCACATTTCTTCTTGTAATTTTATTCATTCATAGTTTTGCATCCAGTTGAGTGCCGAGTCTCACTGTCTTAGCCCTTGAACAGCAAACTCCTGGCTGGGATGAACCTGGGCGAGGACATCTGCAAACAGCTCCAAGTGATGCTGGAGCCAAAGGACCACATGCAGAAGTTACAGAACACCAGATGCCAAAACCAGGTCTTGGGTTATACAAGTATGCACAGTGTCTGGTCTAAGTTATTTGTCAACTTTTGAGGTACAGTGTTTAGTGTTGGGGGGCTTAGAAAATATACACTGTTTTTTATCAAAAATATTTATACATTCTGTTACAACATATTGCTTTTACCCAATCTGTGTTCTGGAGGTCAGTGGCCTATACATTAACAAGTATTTTTTCACTGAGTTGCAGGATGTTCACTTGGCCACTGCTTAACATTAATGAAGTGGTATAATTAAATTACTTGCCTGGACATAAGAATACATTACAACTTCCAAATATACATGTTCACAGCATGTATACATTGAAAATCTTTCTGCTTTCTAAGAGTGATATGATATTGTACAGCAGATAGAGGATGATCTAGGTGGTTAAATACAGACTGCTTAACTTAGCTGTCCACCCAGTGAATGGGAAAGGCATGGGGTTGAGTACAGAAGTGGCTTGGAAAATGCATACATTTTGCTCTGTGGGGTTAGACTGAGCAACATCCTCCTCACATTCTTCAGATCAACCAGGGTTTTAAGCCATGCTTAAAGAGCTTAAAGGCAAAACTGTTTGGCAAGTGGCTTTGGTAAACTTTCCGGGGTTTTGTCGATTTCTTTGTTGTAATGGAAGCACTTACACTGTTGTTATCTCAAAGGCAAGGCGTTTAACAGTTTCCCTAATAAATACCATAGAAAATTTACAAAACAAGGCATATCTGTTCTCCATACCGTTATTTTAAGAATGCAAGATGAGGGTGTACATAGAAACGTGTAGTTTTATAGACTGCACACAGTAATGTGTTAATTGAAATCATTTGCCTTCTCCAGCTAGAGCCATGTTCTGTGCGAGTGTCATCAAGATCCCAAACTTCTATCTCTGTGTGGCTGAGCAGAGATCAGTGATCGCCTAGCTCAGAGTCTGCTTTCCCCATGTTAAGGCAGACACTTTAAGAAGTGATGTGATCTGCTGTGAGAGAAACAGTGCAGACCCCATGTGTGCCCATGTGTGGGAAGCTTAATACAGCTGGGTTCACCAACTCAAGAATTCCATAGACCTGCTTTCCAGTGCTCAGATAAAAAACAATATACAAAGAGGCCACTCTTCACAAGAGTGTCAAAACAGTACTTGAAAGGATCTTCATGTGATTTAAAAAGACAAACCAAGCTACAGGTGGCACAGAGAGCAATAGAAGAGTGGGTATTCTTCTGAGAGAGGCATTCTTGTGAGCCAGTCAGCTGGGGTTTCACAGTGTCTGGAAGTTAACACCAATCAGCAATGTAATCAAAATCTCTGAACATTTCCTGCTCTTCTTCTGAAAGTATCCTGGGTTCACGAGGTGGAGTGAGGATAGGTGCTTCAGAGGTAAATTCATCATCAAAATTACTAACGTCTTCTCGTCCTCTAATGGTGGGTACAAAAGGAGGCTTCACTTTCTTGGCCAGTAAAGCATTCCAATCTATTAGCTGTAAGATAAACCAACCGCAGTTTAGTTTCCTCTCTACTTCTTTGTGTCCTTAGAAATATTACTAGTCTGTACTCACCCTGAAGAAGTGATGCTTTTTCACATCCTCAGCATCTTTCTCTCCAGCACCAAGACGCCGCTCTGGATTTCTTCGTAGCAACTGAGAAAACATGCACGATTTCAGTGCAGAAATTCAGGGAAAGGGGAGGAACGAGGGAGGCTGAGAGCTACTGTGTAAGAGCCAGCACCAAGATTAGATTAGATTAGTGAAAGTCTTCATCCTCAAAGTGGAAGATGATGCTTTAGCTTTACATGGGTCAAGTGGCAGCAGTGCTCTTCTAGCACAACTCCACCAACAGTCCAGCTATGAGCAGCCAGAGAAAGAGCAGACATAAGACTGTAGGTCTGTGGGACTGAGACTTGGTGCCTGAAGTGATTGGTGGGCCTGGTGTCAAGCAGAAAGAGTCAGAATTGTGCTGGAGAGTATACAGATTTAAATGAACTAGTACTTCTTGTTTGGCTCATAAAAGAGCCAGCTCTGCTGCCTCCAGTGCTTTAACTTACACACTGCAGCAAGTTGCTGAATTGGGTGATAGACTGCCACTCTGTCAGACATTTATGTGGAGAGGCTGCTTCCAAAGACATTGAATCACCTCCAGTAAACACTACCAACTGTGGTAAGCTTCTACTTTAGGTAGGTTCAAGTATCTTCTTCAGATAAGCAGAGGCACTGCACTAAGGAACAGCACTGGTAATGATCATAATCAACATCAGCTGTTCTTTGCCACATGCAGTGTTCCCTGCCCCAGTTGGAAGGAATCCAAAGAGATTTAGAAGTCTTTGAATTAAAATATTCATGTGACAATGTTAATCTACCAAACAGATCAATGCAGCAGTGTTCTGTTAGGAAAAGAGAGCTGAACTTCTCTAGTTAGGTACGACCAGGAAACAGTTCAGGAAGAAAATAGAGCTTCTAGTGTTTTACTTTTTAAAGTGAAAAACTTGATCCTGAATGAAGTGGAATGGCACTGACAGGTTTCATTTAAGGTGATGGACAGCATGGCATAGCCTAAATGGGGCACCCAAAATTTACTTGTAGAAAGAAACCACCAGGCATAGGTTCTTCAAGTGTTTTGTTCCTCACGAAAGCAATTCATTTCCTTAATTGGGATAAGAGGGGAATGTATTATTATTATGACTATGATGTTCTTACCCGTCTCATTATAGAGATGGCCTCTGTAGACAGGAACCGTGGATATCTTACTTCATCATTTACAATACTGTCAAACACCTCTTCTTCATCATCTCCAGGGAAAGGAGACTATAAGGCAAGTAATGAAATACTATTAACAGGCTTAAACATTACTTAAAATTGAAAAGATGTTTTCTAATTCCAAACTGGCAGCAGACTATGCCCTGAAATGAAGTCTTCCTGTTCCCAGAAACCAAATATGGTAGTTTTTCTTGAGGAAGAGAGAAAAGGCAAGTTAGTGTTGTCCCTTAACTCCTACTGCAGGATTCGGCTTTACAAATACGTTTTTAGAAGTAGAAACACCTAAAACAGGGATCATCTTTAAACTATTGACACAAGATACACAGGGAATGTGGGAAGTACAGATCAGCTTTTCTTCAGGACAGCTGCTATCCACAAGTAACACGGTCCAGACTAATTTGTTTTTGTCATATCTTCAGCATGTGACAGCTCCAGGGTTTTCAAACTGTTCTGAAGTGGCCTGCAGATGTTAGGTGACACCCTAGAACCTTTTTATCTTTTAGCACAGAGGCCATCTATGTACTACCTGGAGATACTTGAACAGAATGCTCTGGAAGGTAAAGCAGCATACACAAGGTAAATAATTACTCAGTAGTAATTTATTTATACTAGCTCATTTACATGGAACTGGGGCATTCTGTTTTAGTGCAGGTGTAATTCAGATGGTAAACAGCATTGTCTTGGACCAGCTACAACTCATTCACTTCTCAACTACTGATAATTCAAGCTTATGGCATGATCATCAACTTCTGTAGCATTACAGCAGCTAGTATCAGGTAAGTGGCTGCTCAGTGTTTAATACTTCTTAAACACATTAAGATGCTCATTGTAAAACCAGGTATGCCTATACATACTGGGTATGCAAGTACTGATGCAACTGTGACACGTAGGACACACTGAGTGTTGGCAGGCCAGTATCTTGAGTTTACTACCTTTTTAAACATACATTAATGACTCCACTGTATCTTACTAGAACTTACCTCACCCACTAGCATCTCATAGATAAGTACACCAAGACCCCACCAGTCCACAGCTCTTGTATAGGAAGTTTCTGTCAGCACCTCTGGAGCAAGAAATTCTGGTGTGCCACAGAATGTGCTTGTTCTGTCTCCAAATCCCATTCCTGAAAAGTTAATGAATGAAAAGCAAGCACTTACGGAACTTGTCTGCAGCTGAAGTCACAGTAAATGTTTCAACACCTACTGCATTTACTAAATTCCCTCTTAGGCTATCTAAAAACTAAACATGGAGGAGAGGCTGTACAAACTGAAGAAGGAAATGGACTTTTCCATATCTTCCTCTGCAATCAGGTTTGAGACACACTGTAACTTCAGTTTCTACCTCTATTTTATGTCTTAATAGAAAGGTAGTTGCCAGTAACAGAATGCTTGAAAGTACCATTCTATCATCTAGACTTCCTTTTTGGGATAAACGTCACCTTTCTAGCTGTTAGTATACTTCACATGTCATTGCCACATTCTTAGAGTTGCAACTATTTCAGAGTTAAACAAATAGATAATGAATTTGTAAAAAGTAATAGCAAGGTATCGATTGTACCGGTACTTCATTGTACAGTCTTAATTGACATGTTTAGAATGAGGAAAAACACTGATTTTTCTGCTAACTTGCAGAATGCAGCAGTGCGCATTATGAATAAGCAGAGCTATGATGAAATAGGAATCAGAACAGGAGATGCACACAACTGAAAAAAAGTCAGTAAAAAAAACCAGTGCTATGCTCAGAGGCTCCCACTATTTCCCTACTAAGGAACTTTCCCTTATCTCCACATTTGTACAGTCTATTTTTTTCCTTCAAATGATAGAGGGTAAGGACACATGCTGCACATTTGGCAGTCCAAAAGTCTCGAACAGCCAAGAGTAAGACAGACTGCAGAATTCCCCTAGAAAGAAAATATAATGGCCAGTACCTTCTTTGCAAAGACCGAAGTCAGCAATTTTCACAAAGCCTTCTGTGTCCAGCAATAAGTTATCCAACTTCAAATCCCTAAATGAACATTTGCAAAAAGAATTGCATCACTGATGTTCCTTCAGCCCTATTCAGGATAGCTGAACTCCCTCTGTTGGGAATGGGTTAGTGACTACTTACCTGTACACGATCTTGTGTTCGTGTAAATACTGAAGTCCAAGAACCACACATGCAGCATAGAATCTGTTGAAAAAGTTGAAGTGGAAATGGCAAGGAAATTCAGTCTTCCTTTTCAGAGTGCAAACTCCATTATTATCAATCTTTTTTATTAACCATCCTCTGAAGATTACCGATTGGTTTTTCAAGTACAGATTACAAGGTGAGAGTTTTTAAAGCCAGATGGCAAGGATGCTTAAACTTGCAGCTTTCAAGCTGTAGTATGTTTGCTTGGCCTGGAGGATGAATTTTCTGTAGTATCTACTGCCAGGGCATTGAAGGATTTCCAATTTGGCTTATTATATTCTGTTTTGGTTTTTTTTAGCCTTGCCTGTCATTTTAACTTGTCATTTTGCTTTTTTCTGTAATCTCTTTTTTTAGAAAGTATTATAGAAATTAAATATTTGTCATTTTTTACTTCAGTGTAGATTCAGGCACATTAAACCTGAATGTGTCTTCTTCTAAGACGAAGAGTTAGAATCTCTGACCCTTCTTAGAACAGCATTTACTGAAATGACCTGATGTAGAGGCATGTGGGGATAAAAGTTCTTATCTGCTGAACAAAATGCCTTTCACTTAATGCCACAAAAAGGGATGGATACTCACACTGCTCTGGGTTCAGAGAAGACATCAGTATGAATGTGCATCATCAGATCCCCACCAGCAGCATATTCCATTACAAAGCAAACATGATCTTTGGTTTGGAAACAAGCAAATAGGTTCACCAAGAAGGGATGCCTTACACTATTCACAGTTTCAAATATTCGCTTTTCACACATCAAGCTGCAAACAGAAAGACAGAAATTTAAAGCTTTAAATAACAGTTTTTCAACTCTCAGAAACTATTGGCAATTGATGCCTTACATTTTTTCCTCTAATATTCTTTTGGATAAGGCAAGAACATTTTTTGTTTCAATAGAGATTTTAATACTTGCTCACACATTAAGTTGATGCCAAGATTTCCAGTCATATTTGGCTTTCATCAGCAAACAAGGAAATCTAGCAGTCCATGAGAATTGTATCCTGCCAATTCTCCTTCCAAATACATTAAGTGGGAAACAGTATCGATACTAGAGACATCTAATTCCAGATTATTTCTCCTTAAGCCAATTGGTTGATTTGTACCTTATTCTTGGTGCAGTTACCTTTGTTCCTGCAAGTCAAGTGAATATAGTCATTGCTATTAAACAGTTGTAAAAGCACTTTCTTGCACTAAAACTAGATAGTTTTGTAACTGCCTCTTCACTTCCAAGCAAAGCAAAATCTGAGTTTTGGGCAGAAAGTACAGCATAAACTGGAAAATATGATGGCCAAAGTATGACAGTATGTTACAGGTTGAGAAAAACCATTATAGGGGTTTCTGCCACTAAAGAAAACAGTCATGGTCCTCCTGAAATGTGACATAATTCTATAGAATAACTAATTAGAATAAAAATTGCAACAGACCCTCAATGAGAAACAGGATCAGCTTCAAGTCGCAGGCATGGTAAGAGAGGCACTAAGACTAATCAGTATCGCTGGGCTCCACTGCTCCCTCCTTGCCTCAGGAGGATTGCGTCTGCAGCAGCCAAGCAGGGAGATGACAGCTTGTTCTGCTCTTTCACTGAATTTAACTACTGTTTGGTAGGGCTCATAGTTGTGCTGCATGCAGAAAAAAAACAGCTGATTTATGGAATCTATGTTACAAACTGACCTGTCCACTTCATCACGAGCGACAATATCTCCTTTCTTTAAGGCTTTAATAGCAAACATCTCATTTGTGTTTTTGTACTCTGCCAGCAGCACCTAAAACAGAAGATAAGGGATACATTTATGAGCTAAACCCAGTTTTTGATAAAGCCTTGACATTTTTTATCACCTTTTGACATTTACCTTTCCAAAATGTCCTCTGCCCAGTACAGCACAACATCTGAAATCCTTCAGACTGAATTGAAATCGTTGTTGTGATCTATGTAAATGAAACAAGAGTCAAAAATCTTCAAGTTTGTTAACTTTTAAGGAAGAGTATCTAAATCAACAACAAAACCAGTTCATTGTTACCTTCTGTCTTCAGGCTCTCGGGTGTTGGTATATTTTATGTCTGAATGGGGAGCATCAGACCCACATATTATTTCAGGCTGGAGTTTTGGGACAATACTATTTCTGCCATTTTCAAAATCAAAAGTTGTTACTTCATCCTGTGAAGAAAAACAAGGCTGAAGATTTAAAACTGATTGTGAAGGCAAATGAATGCAGAAATTTTACTGGAGGCCTGTGAAAGTCTTAACACAAGATTTATCTAAGCTAAAACAGTAGAGTTCAAGATGATACAGAGAAACAAGGTTTGAGTGATGAAACCTATTGCTACAGTCATTCAGCTTTTTGTTAATAAAGCCATTTTTTCTCTGAACACTCTAATGATTTGGGGCTTTTGTTATTTCTGTGTAGGAACCAATGCCATGGAGAGTTAAGCACACCAACCACAGAAACAGCTTGCCACCAAGAGTAATTGGAACTTTTTGTAGAGACAATTCTGTACGTGTAAGTTAAGGGAGCATATGCTGAAACATAAGGGGAGAAATCCATCATAAAGATGCCAATACTGCAACCTTGTTAAACTGTAGAGGCCAAAACACTTAGTTACTTGCCTGAGATGGCACATCAGGAGCCTTTATCTCAGAGGAAGACTCACATATTTCCCCAAGGGAAGATGCACGTGGTGGAGCAGGTGGAGGCTCAGGCTCAAGTTCAAAGTCCAACTTGGCCACAGCAGAGTCACTGTCAAGGGAATAAATAACTCCTCAGTGTACAGCAGGGATCATTTTACTGGCATGAAAACCAATTTAAACCTGCATGTTATGTAGATTCCTCCTAAAACAAATCTGTGCATGTAGATCTGTCTATAAAATGGATGAGCAAAATTAACACACTGAAAGGTCTGTAGACTTGCAGAGTAAATAGATTTGACATCCATTAGCACATAAGCATCTCACTGTCATTCTTAAAAAGTACTTAAAAACAGTAGATATTCCCTACCTGGCTGGCAGTGTGAGCTCAGGAATGTTTGCATCAACCACTGGCCCAGTAGCAGGCACTGGTGCTTGAGGGCTGAAGGTGCCAGAGTGATTTACTGTAGGAATAGCTCTTCTCACCAGCCTTCCCCAAGTGGCAATGTTAATATTCATTTGAGGAGCTCTGAGAAATGTTTTGCCTATGGATATTGTGAAAAAGAAAACAGAGTGCAAGTCATTTCCTTACTTATTACCAAAAGCTCTAATTAAAAACATTAATTCATATTAATCAGTTTATGAAGAATAAACTGAATTTATCCTATTCCTTATAAGTTCCTAATTATTCATTGTTAATTGTTAATGCATAATTAGGAATTCTAAACCAAAACATTTCTAAATGCAATGCCATATCCTTGATTATCAACAGCTTTCTTCCCAGGTAAATATTAGATGTCTGCATAAAAGAGATCACAAATCCATATCATTTTTAAGCTTTACATGTTTATATTAAACAATCACCTTGCTGTTTTGAAAAGATTTTCTTCTGCCTCTGGAGTTTTGGTCTTCTTTCAATAACAGGATTAAAAAATGTAACCTGCAGTTCAAATAATGGATGTTAGAGTTCAAGTTTCAGGACAAAATCCATTCTTTAAAGTTTAAGAACAACTTCTTAAAATCTTCTGCAACATATTACTTACACTGTACGATATATTATATAATATATTGTTATATAATAAGTATGCTCACATGCTCAGAAGAAACATCCTTACCTCTGCAAACAGGGTACCCTGGGGTTCAAGATAGAGACACATGCCATGCCGCTGGTTATCCAGGAAATCTTCCAACCTCAGGAACTTGACTGCACACAAAGATCTCCAGTCACGCCAATAAACAGAGATTTCCAATTCACGTGACTACGACAGGAAACATACACACAGGAAATTACTTACTGGCGATTGTTCTGCAAGAGGTACCTCTGTGCTACTGTAAGATCTAGCAACTCAAGGACTGAGATGCAGAGCTGTTACTTCAAAGGAGTGCCACTTTTGGAGAAGTACCATAAAAATTCTGTGACATGGCTTTACCAAAACATCCAAACTACCTGATATTGGAATTTACTGATAAATAATGAGAAACTGATGATTCTCATAAGAATTTAAGCTTATCCATCACAGGCTAAAAACATATTATGGCAGTTTAGAGGCAGAAAACAACATTTCTGGAGTGCCAGCCCAGCATAACAGCTTAACCTCTGGGAGCTCATTCTGTTAAAGATGGGAATACTCACACATCTCAAATTTGAACATAACACAGCAACAGGAAAACAGGCAACATATTGAAATTAATCTAAGAACTGACCATTGCTGTAGTGAATTAAGAACACATTTTTACCCTGTCTAGTTCCAGTGTAAATTTCTGATCCCAGGACTGATTGGAAATAGGCTTCCAGCTAGTTTGACCAACCACAGTGTTATCCAGCTTCAGTACAGCACAGACTTCATCTGTAAGTAAGTAAAGCACACAGACTCAGCTTAAATCTTTAAGAAGATTTTCCACAAACAAAAAATCTTCAGTAAAGTTCCCTTTAAAAAATGTAATCTCATATTTAACTGGTTCTTGTGGACATAATAGTGTAGTTGTGCTTTTGTTCCTTTTCTTCTTAAACAGATGAAGAAACAGCCAAGTTTAAACGTTCAGATCAATGTAGCATTTTACATTACAGAACAGGGCATGCACATTGAAATGTAAATGCATGAAAATAAGAGAAGGTAGAATATACTGAACTGGACAAGTCATCATTTTTCAGAAGGTTTCTGCTACTCCCACTTTTAATTTTACTGGTTCTGCCAATGAAAGATGTTCTGGCTTCATTTGGACTCCAACCCGGTAGCGTAATTGAGGTGGCTTTGGATCGGCCAGGGACATTTTCCAAGATATCCTGGCAGCCCATCAGCCTCACTTCCAGGGTACCTAGAACAAGACAGACAGAGATCTATCAGAGAGTTCTGTTACTGAGTAAATGAAGTGAATGAGTAACATTGATTTATGGCAGTAGCTCACATTCTGATCCCCACAGGCGACAACAGAAGGATCAGATGAAATTAAAAGACAGATCTGAGACAAATATACTGAAAATGAGCACTAGAAGACAAGTATGTGGGACTCAACCTCCTAGAAGGAGCTGCAGTTCACCAAAATGACACTAAGTAAGTTTTTGTTGTGTCTCAGAAGTATCTTTGTTTCCTTCACCTAAGATCTGCCCTGGGTTCAAGCTATAGGCACTGTCACTTCTTAAGACGATAAATCTTGTTTCTTACTGAAATGATGGATCTTGCAGATGGGACAATAACAATTTTCCATGAGCTTTATATAATCAATTAATGTTGGATACATTGCTGCAGTAATTAACACACACTACTGAAACACATTGACTATGTATTTGTTTCAGATGCATTCAGAAACCACATTTGTTTGCTACCTGCTAAAGTGAAATTCAAGTTAGTGCATAATCTAAAAATCACTGAATTGTTCCAACTTCACTGAATTTGGATTTTCAAAAGCTGAGAAAAGATGCTACTCTGAAGAGTTTTCTACATCTTTACTCAAATGAGCTTTAGAGGCTGCTGTTCTAATTTAGGAGAGTTGCCTCCAGCAGCACATACAAATGGTAGGCTTACCTCATCCTGTACAAGATAACATCTCTAAAACTGTGACAGCACTGCCACCAACAAAATTAACTATTAAAGTGGTGAAATCAGCCAGTTCATAATCTTGCTGTCACCAGAAATGCAGCTCCCTAATACAGTGTTCTGACAGCACATGTACTTATAAAGTTTCACAGTTAAGTTCTCTTTTTTGACAGAAACTTAAGTCAGACTTGACCTAAAAATGGTCTGGCCACATTACAGCCCACAGAACAGACATCAAGAAACCAATCAGAGAAGAAATCCCATCCTACAGGGAACTAACAGTTGTAAGTGACCTCTAAGTATTAGGTTATGAAGATAAAGAGATGCTGTTGGCTCCCAAAATAGGATAAAAGAATACTTTATTCCCAACCTCTGTTTAGGGGTGAAATAAATAAATACCTAAATAAAAAGCAGAAAGGCTATAATCTTATATAAGGACAGAAAGATCTGTTGATGCACTTTAAAATGACATAGCACTGATCTATTTTTCACAAAGAGTTAGAGGCAAAACACAAAGACACCGTTCACGTAAATCCAGTTCAATACAAAAAGCTCTTTGTGTAGCCATTATGAAAGCGAAACTATGAAGAACACTTCACAAGCTTGTAACTCTGTTCCGATAACTCCATTACAAACTGTTCATGTGCATCAGTAAATTACATTTAAAGAGGAATTATCTGTCACTACAATGCATCTGACCTATGATTATATATTATGCTTTTTACTCTTTACTACATGTCTCATTGAGCCAAAATGGAGGACAAGAAGACTCACTCCATTTTCTTGTTATTGCAGAAGAGTTCCTCTTTTTATTTTAAACTATAACCCCACAGTACTTCACAACTAGATTCTGTTTTCAGTTATACATGTATAAGGAGAGTAACATTTGAATTACTGATTGTTTCTGTAATAAACTTACTCCATTAATAGTTACATATAAAATGTTTTAGGAAACAAAACACCAAACCTATCTGTAGTAGGAATTCTTACATAGCCACTTACTACATAAATTTAGTAAAGCCACGTATTCCCAAGTAGTCAAAAGTATTTGTTTTTTCTTCAAGAACACTATGAGGCAAATGTTTAAGAACTTTGTGAAAGCATGGTTCATCTCTTCCTCTGAAGAGCAATTCCAGGTGAACACAAACTATGAGAAGTTCTTAAGTCTCATATATAATGTACTGTTCCCTCACAGTAAGCTAAGTCTCAAACCCCAAAATAATCCACATATAATTTGCAAGGCAAACAATTCACACCAGTGAATAGAGGCTTCAGTAGTTCCATGCATTCTTCTTAGGATCTTCCTCCTTGGTTTAGGAATAGAACACATGTTTTGGTAGCACAAATGTCACCTTCTAAAAAGCCACTGTGGTCCACTGGGTAAAATAAGGACTGGGCAAAAAGCTGGGTGCCTATCTCCAGGCTCTGCCACTGACTTGTTATATGATCAGGGCAAGTCACTTAACCCTTCCGCACCTCAGTTGCCCCTTTTGTAAAATGGGGATAATTTTACCTACTGTTTAACATTCTTGATAATAAAAAAGGCATTAGGTAAACACTAGTAGTACCATTCCATAGTGGCCTAACTTCACTTTTTCAATAGGATTATAAAAAGGCCAACAAATCAAAGAAACTTATCTGCATTGTTTTGGTGCACAGACATTTGGAAATTCTAAATGCCTTTGTCTAGCAAAAGAACAACAATGAAATATGTCCAGAAAGAAATAAAACTGGCATTAAAGCCTTGTTCTAAACCATTGAATAGAGTTGGAAAAAAGGTTCCATAAATCTTACCTGTTAACGCTGCTGGCTTGGACAGCGTACTATACTGGTTCTGAGTAGATATTACACTTTGACGAGGACTTAACGTGGGTGAAGAGACCAATGAAAGCTCCTCTATAATAATACTGCTTTTGGGATGGTTTTTAGGGAGTTCATTCAATCTCTGTTCCAGTGAATACTTCAAGAGGTCCAACTTCTGGCTTGATTCATTAAATCTTGCTTGAGCCTTCTTAGAACAAGAAAAAACAATGAAATATTTCATATCTTTTTTGCCTTGAAAGAGCATTTAAAATAAAGTATCAGAAATTGTAATGACGTAAATTACTTCTGAAAGTGCCTTTCTGTCAGTGACCTTCCCAGATCCAAGTAACTTCATCACATTCTTTGCACCTTCTGCTACAGCATACTCTATCCTAAAGTGATGCCGTAATTCTTCCATTCGGAGTTCAAGAGGGCTTATCACAGGTTTTGCTGCAAAGAGATACAAGTAATCTTCATTATGAAGACCATGCCCAGGTTTAATTTCTTTAATAGTAACTCTTCCCCCATATAAATAGAGGGCAGAAAACAAGAAGAAAGGGGAAAAAGAAGCAAGATGCTGATTTGATATTCAAAAAAAAAAAAGCTTGAAGTGTGTCATAAAAGCAACAGTGAGCTTTTAAGCATCTGCATTTGAAGGAAGAAATCACTGATGAGGGCCTCAATCCAATAACCAGGTGCTACTCCTTGAAGAGCTGTGTTGCTAATGGATGTGAGAGAAGAACCTATCTCGAGTAAAGGGACAAAAGCCATCACTCAGCTGGCAAGAAGGAGGTTTTGCGATTTCCACGTTTCTGAACCATGCTCTGAGGATTAATCTTTCAAGCTACTCTGCAACTAAGTAGATCCCTGATTGCTTTCTGATAATCCTTCTGCTTCACACAAAATCCCAGGGAATCTGGCTTCTGCCAGCACAGAGAATGTAAGAGGTCACATATGCTGGCTTCCCCAGTGGTTTGGGTGAACCATTGTAACATCCACTCCTTATGCTGTTTAGAACAGAACTAGAAAGTTTCCTGGATATATTATTTTCTGTTTAAGGCTTTAAGAGCAGTAGCAATACAAAAAGACATCTGAAAGTCCTTCTAGCTAGAATACATTTCTTCTTCTTCTTTTGAACTTACAATGTCTGTAATTCATGGGCTAAGATGGGATACTAAAAAATGCCAGAAGTGTCCTAAAAGTGTAAAATCAGAAAAAATTAACCCCTGTCTCACACTCTCACACGCACACACACACAAGCTTTTCACTATCTAGGATATATCCAGGACCTGATTACAAGCTTCATTGTACAACTTCAATACCAAGAAATGCATACAAATAAAGTTCAAGATTGGAGATGTGCTGATATCCCCACAATTTTATACTCCACGCCCGCTATAGCTCAGGAGTAATTTTTATTTCTTAATTTTATTTAAAGACTTCCAAAGAAATGCAAGTTTAAAACTATTTCTGAAATGCACCATGAATATTTCAAGACATTATTTTAACAACAGTTTTTTTTCTTTCAAGTTGTTTACTACTCAGTCTAGCCTAAATACCCATAAAGACAGACAAAATTCACCTCCATCTGTGCTCTCATTACTAATAAGGTCAATCTATTTAAGTATAACAAGCAGGCTTTGAACCACATCAGATTTTGGTTTTTAGGATAGTGAAAAGATTATATGCTTTAAAGGAAATTACTAGTTATTGTTAAAAAGAAAGCATGCATGAAGGGAGAAAGCAGGACCATAAAGCAAAAATGGACTGCATAAGGTATGAAAAGGATAATGTAGAGAGACTGTATGTTTCTTCATTAAGCTTGAGGTAATTTGCTTCAAGTGAGATGTATCTGGCATCCTAGCACACACAATTGTTTGCCTGGTCTCCAGTTATTTTTGGCTCATGTAAGCTCTGTCCAAAATTACCACTAGGAATTTATGGTAACACTGTTTGCATATGGGTACATATCTATGTGGCATCCTGAAGTTAATGACTCATATTTCATTTCTACTCACTCACCATTATCAAAAGCCAATTCATTGGTCTGCACTGCCTGAAGAATCTGCATCCTTATAACTTCTATTTTCGTCTTGCTGTCCTGGAGCATCTGCTGAGCTGTGGCAAGAAGTTTTCGATCCTATTAAAATGAACAAACAAGTTAAAATGATAAACTCTTCATGGAATAAAACATATTGAAAGCTTCAAAACTGACAGGCTTTAGAAACATGAACTAAATGTATGCAGTTCATTTGGTATAGAAGACTGATAAAACTAACCACATTAGGGTATTACTGGAAATTAAGTTAGGACAGAGTTAGTTATGGCTGATTAAAGACTATAAGCTACTCCCATGGAAACTCTTTAAAGCTGAATAGAGGACTCATGATCTAGCAACATTACATGCATAGATTAATGTTTTGTGAGCTGATACTAAAGAAAGGATATTATGTGCAAAATACCTTCACCTTATGAAGAAGGACTCAAATTTACTGTATGACAAGAGCTCTTCTAACAGACAAAATTGCTTAACTAAATACATATAAAAATTACTGTACTAATTCACTTGAGCTGATACTCAATTTTGAAATTAGAAATAAGAAGTTAACTTACGTAGCACATTCTAAATAAGTCTGCTATGTTTTCCTGAACAAATCAAAGCTGAAGATTGTTTTGCATTAATAAATACATAATACAAGAGGGTTACTTCCTTAGCTATCTCATCAATAACATAAGGGTGCAAGACTTTTCATCTACATGAGGCTGACTAATTTAGAAGAGAACCTTTCTGAAGACGAACTTTCAAACTAGCTGATAATAACCATTTTCTATCTTCCAGCCACTGGAGAACTGACTTACAATGGCTTATCAAATGGTTCCTGGCTGTAGAACTGTGCATGTGCTTCTACGGCTGCTGCATGGTGCTCTCTCTCTGTTCTGGGAATTACCAGGTAACTTAAAAGTGATCTGACTTGCAGTAAGAACAAGAATAGTGGTATAAGAAAATGTAAGGCAGTCTATTTGTCCTGTCTGTGCAGTACTAATCAATCACAGTAATTAACAGTAGTCAGTGAAGATGAGCATCACACTTGTTATAGCCCAAAGGGTAGTCTGGTTAACTCATTCTGTAGCCACTCTATAACCTCATTAATAAGGTACTTTCCCATGGACACGGTTTGACTTAAACTTTTAATTTTATATAATGAAATTATGATTTATTTAAGAAGTTAAATTCAATTCTTCCCCTTTCCACAACCACGACAAAGAACTGCAGTGTAGCACAAATACCCAGAGCTAGAAATACTAGCACTACCAAGAATACTGTGAGAAAAATCAGTATGCTGAGAAGAAAAATCTACCTTCAGAGCTCCTCTGTGACCCTGCATCTAAGATAGATTACAAGCAACTTTAGAATCCTTTATTAAACCTTATCCATGCATCATTTCAAGGTATATATATATATGCCATGTTTCTTGGTGTGTATCTTCACTTTTATCTTACTTTTGATCTTGCTCATCTTGATTGTCCCTCATATCCTCTTACTGCAATGGATATGCTCGCTCAGGGGCAATATCAGCCCTTCAATGCATAGAATGAAGGCGATTCAGGATTATAGAGATATCCTTATGTTTTCAAGAGACAGAAAATCCCATCCTGAGAACCAAACGGATGTGCTATACTCAGCAGGTCTTTTAGTGCTGGAGGCTGAAGACAAAGCACTTCAAGGCATCTCCTGAGCATAGAAGGGCTGACAGTGCCCGAGAAACTGATCTGCAAAGCTGTCGTGGGATCTTAGAGAATCCATACAAGTCCAAGAAAAGATGATCAGTATCTCAGAAATGCTTCAGTCCAAATAGGTTGAGCTGAATGTTACTGAAGCAAGTACAGAGGGAAAACCTTCCCATGAGATGATGGGTTTATTACTATTAACAGGCTGCTTTCTCATTTTTAGGAAACGAATGACCTCCCTCCATCAAATTTAGGCCTGAAAATAATACAACCAGATTAAAAGCAGATCATACAGTACACTTGAATAAAGGTCATGACAGAGTTTAACATGTTTAAAAAGGTCCCGTGACTACTTTTTAAAGAACTCTGGATTACCAGGTTTGGATTCACACCGGGAATTTCCTGCCCCGTTTGCCCACCTTATCCAGACACTTGAGTTGCTTTAAGTTCTTATTTTAAAAAAGAATCACCAGGCTCAAGCCTACAGGTTAAACCTGCCAAATTAACTCACTGCTGAGTATTAAGAATATGAGAGAATGAATACGCACCATTTCCATCCTGTTTATTGAAGCAGCTGGCAATGCTTTTTGTGTTTTCCAGCTTGCTCTTCCCAGCCCAGTTACTATATACACCCAGGCTGGTAGGCTGATTTAAGCACTTACCAATTGCAAATACAAGATTCAATCATCAGTTTTAATTACATGCCTCAATCTTAAAGCAAACCAGAATTTACCCTTTTTATTTAGTCTGATCAAAGCCTGCCTCCAATGTCTACTATTACAGCCTGAGTGTTTAGTTAAGTTTTTTTTGGCTGCTATAAGGTTACTTACTGAGGGTTTATTAGGAACATAACTCATGTATGTCTTTTGATCCAGTTGGGTCAGCTGGTTATTATTTTTAAGTGTACCTGATGTTAAGTACCTGGCCCCAGAGGTTGTAGACTCCAGGGTTTCCAAGAGCTAAGGGACTGTGGTGCATGGACAGCATTCCCAGGCCCTTAGTCATAAGGTGCACTCCAGATACTGTTTCCATCTGCCCCAGGCTAGTAGGGTACAGGTCACTTTAAGATAAGGCTACCAGTGTACCAGCTGGCTCCACAGAGGTGCTGCTGGGACAGAATGAGCTTGATGACACCTATGGTCCCATCTAACCTCATTTTCTCATAGTTTAACCTCATTTTTCTGGGAGTGAGCAACATCCACTATCATTTTTCCAAAGTCTAAGTCATACAATAGGCAGATACACAGTGATCTGCCTCTCCACCACTCCCTATCAGAAATTGATTCAAACACAGTAGGTTTCTCCAACACTTACTCGTTAAATTCATAGATGTCTACTCAAGTCAAACACTTCTTCCCACTGACCTAGCTAGGTGTTGGCTCCCTCAGTCAAGAACTTAAAGCATTTCAGTTTTACTTGCTACTCTCTGGACACAGAAACAACTAACCAAGCTATTACACAGTGTTAGATCTCAGCCTGTGTTTCCCCTTAGCTTGGAAATTCATCTCCTTAATGGTTTAGTAAAAGTAAGTGGAAAAAACAGGTAAAGTGTAACTAATGAAGGGTGAAGGAGCAGTTAAGTAGAGGATCCCCTTTTTTCTATTTGAGAACCATGACTCCCTTACACTCATAGCATATATGTTGGGGAGGTGATGGGGTGATGGGTTTCTGGGTTGGTTTGGTTCTGTTTGTTGTTTTGGGGGGTTATTAGTGTGTAGTTATCCCCCCCCCCAGATATGAAAGGTTGGGCTTATCTTTCAGTTGAGTTAAGGGACTCGGACTATGCTGAATGTTACCACATAGTTTGGACTATGAAATGAGTAAAACCCATTTAGGGGTTAACAAACATTTCTCCCTGCCTCCTTGGAGAGCTTCTGGTGCTACTGAAAAAGAAAGCAAGCAAGCATGTGTCTAAAATTCAGATCTAGAAATAAGAGTGCTTTTATTTTTAATCTCTTGATGCTACCAGATGCCACCTCTAGAATATCACACTGTAAAAAGTAATATACTATATATATATATACACACACACATAAATGTATCTTATGTGCATGCATAGTAATGCAGATTACAACAACTTTATCAGAATACTATACGCATCTTACTAAAACATACTTGGTATAACTCCTTTTACTGCCAACTACAACTCAATGACCATCTCAGAAGCACACTGGCAATTCTATGTAATTATTCTGTGTAACTATCATGCATGTTACAACTTTTAGCTAATGGGGGTTTTGTTTGTTTGGGGTTTTTGTTTAGTGGAGCTGGGAAAAAGCATCAGGTACCAGTCAGTGTCATGGCAAGCTTTGCTGCTCAGTGAATCGCATCCAATGAAAGATTACTAGATGTACTAAATTTAGCAAGCCGGATTTGTTATTTAGGTTGAACTGCATGTGGACAAACTGATCAAACAATCACTTGAGTGGGTATCATACCACCACAGAAAAAAGGGGATAGGAATTTGCACCAGGTTTGACATAGCCATTTAACAACAAATATACCCCAAACTCAAAGTACTGAAATTGCATGCTGTTCATACATTGCACATCCACACCACAGCAATACGAAAATCCACAGGCATTTTATGGTCTTTAAATTCCAAAGCCTTACCTTTGAAGAGCCATTTGAGTACATCTGTATCATATTTTCTGCTCCCTGTTTTACCTTCAGTTCTATATCCAATTGCTTCTTTAAGGCCATCAATCTGTTGTTAGTAGAAAAACGAGGATCGCTATTTGGAGTATCAGGAGTCCTGGGACAATCTAGGAATGAAAGATAAGATGTAATGTGTGCAGGAAAAAGGAAAGCAAAAAGAATAATAAAACCAACCCACCCCCAAACCCTACCCTAAGCTCTATTCTATGAAGTTATAGATTAATCAAAGCTGGAACATCATACTTAAGTATTAAGACTGACCCTCCTGTCCAGAGCTACTTTGCAGCAGCACTGCAAATTCGCCTTAACATGAAAAGCCTCCTGAAAGCCTGGTGACTCCTACACACGTCCTAATTCACATGAATCACTTCCGGGAGTGCTACAATAGGCAGGTTTGCAGCGAGGTCTATTTTCGTTTCAAAGGAGATTTCTTTCCTCTGGAATGTCTCAAGTCAATTAAAAGTGCAGTTTCCCATTGAGCTTTCTTACACTCCGATTTCAAATCCAAGTGTTTTAAACCCAAAATTGGACTATGATATTCAATGCTAATGAGCATGCTCTAAATACAGACATTGAGTAGATCTGTGAACACTGCACTGTTCATGTCAAAATTAGGACTAGATAAAATGAGCCTTTTTCTTAGTCATAAAGCTGAAGGATACTTTGGAATCATAACAGAATCCTGGCATAGTTGGATATATAGACAGACAGGTTATTGAACTACTGTGATTTGCAGGAAGGATAAAGATTTTGCTTTTGACAACATTACTGTGTTTAGATCTCCATCTTGCTGCATTAATTTAATGGAATGCAAGTTAGTTTTATCAATCAAGTTATACAGTCAAACTCCTCCTCTTTTCCAGCCTCCTCCAGAAAAGTCTGTTCATCACTGGGTCACATTTTAACTTCTGCACCATGAACTGTCAGTGAACTGAAAGTAAATGGCCACTGGACTATTTCCTAGGACTTCACTATTTCCCAACACAATTGTGCTTTTAGCTATCTTCCCTAACAGTAACAGTCTCAATGGCTTCTCTTCCAAAATTTTTGTAAAAAAGGATAAATTACATCCACTGTAACATTTTTTTTTTTGCTGTTGATTTCTTCTACTCCAACAACTGAGAGAATACCTTTTTTAATGGGCAAATGACATCAGTTGTCTCCTGGAAGACAATATTTACCTGATTCCAATGGTACAGTCTTTTATCTGATTGTAATTAATCTTCCTTAACTTAACACTAGGATGGATGATGGATCAAATTCCTGAAATCCTCAATTCTTAGAAAACACAGGCATTGCACTAGTAACTTGCAATGAGGAGATGCCTGCCATTCCACATTGGTTCTCTAGAAGCTTCTGGCAACTAATTCTTTGAGATTTAATACATTTTACTTTCAAGTTTGCTGTGTAATTTCCTCCTAAATTGCAAACTTTGCTGAGGCTACATTCAGATTTCACCAAAGGAGAAGTTTTTACTTCCTCTGCTGAAAATTCACTCTTCACTTTAAGCCACTTTAAGAGTCTTACTGCATACTCACTACTGAAAAGTAGCACAAAAAATACCATATTTAAAAGAAATGTATAAAACAATTCTGGGTTATTCCTCATCTGTTTTGTCGTTCAACCTCCCCCCAGTGTTTTGGCTGGGTTTCTCTGTGGAGCTGCATTTGAGCAGCATTACCTCAGATCTGTTCTTAATAAAAGAAAGATTAAGAACATGCTCTCCCCTCTCACTTACGTCTTCACATTTAACTAATGCTCACCTAATAATCTATTCAAAAGTAGAACAAATGAGAAACTTGAAAGTCCCAGTGTCACGTCTCCTTGTCAAGCAGCTTAATGGTACAAATGAATATTTACCAACTTCAGATTTAAGGTGTAGGCTTCTACCACTGAAAGATCCCAGCCCTCTGATGATCCCTGGGAAGGCTGTGGGGCTCCTGTAGTCTGTTTTCACAGCTTCTAAGGATGCACACAGGCAGTCTCCCTTTGCATTAAAACAACACTCAAGTTGCAAGTCAAGGACTAATTAGAGATACCAGGGCTCAGGTTGCCCAGGCAGCTGTTATTATCTCCCTCAGCGTGTCTCCACTGGGAAGGTGTAACCACATCATTTACCTGGGTCATCTCAAGAGGCGGGTCTGTACTTGTGGACCTCAACTACCCTCTACCATTTACTTTAAATGGTTCTGCTATATGCTTTATTAGTAACCAGCAGCAAAGGAAACTTCTCTGAAGTATGGACTGATTGCTAGGAAGAAATCCATTTTTGCCTTCATGTATTAATAGTGCTTGCTAAACTCCCAAACATGGAACATTCTAGCTTAACAAAGATTCCCTTTTTTAAAAGGAAAATATGGGTTTACCAGCAGCTTTTTCTATTAGGTGAATATCAAGTGAATAACAGATGTATTTAGTGTTATTTTTGCTGAACAACTATGAATGTTGCTGCTTAACACCAATGAGTTTTGTGCAGCACACATCCAGGCTGCTGGAAAAGCTGCAGCACTGCTTCCCAGCACCTGCAATAGCCTGTTTTCATGAGAATATACTTATAAGGCTTAAAATAAGTTAATAGTGATGGTTTAACCGAGTTTTAATTCATAAAATACCTGGATTGCATCAGGACAATGGCAGTTTTCGGTCAGAATCGTTTACCTTAACCCTGATCTTTGCTCTTCTGCAAAGCTTTTCAGTTTGAGTCTTTGCATAGTACTCATATGAGCAAAATCTTCTTCCTTCTCAATTGCCTTTTACCAGTGCTCCCATCTAAATGATATTTATTGGAGCACTGACACAACTCTGCTTCTCTGAACCCGCTGCTCATTCCTTTGGGGACTCTTCCCTAGATGCTGTTTGTTCAGTGTAAGATCCAGGGCCACATGTAACTCTGAATTTGGCTTCCCAGATGGTACTGCAGCACGCTGCTAAGCTAGTCCATTAGCAGCAAGTGCACTTTGGTAAACAGTTAATTTTAATCTTCTTTGAGGATATTTAACTGCAGTTAGCCTCAGTATCATACCCAACAGAGATACCTATGATGCTTGTTTGGGCACTTCTGGAAGGGGGAAGAAAGAGGCTTTTCTCAGGGAGCCAGATGGTTGCTTCAGCACTTGGACTAAGCCATCAGTAAGTCAAAGGCAGCAGTGGACATCCTGCACTCAGAGCACCTAGCATTGATCTCCTGAAAACTCTTGAAGTTCAATTGCATTTCAATTCAGTAACTACAAAACAAGTGACAGGAGATTGTTTCAAACAGCTTCAGTTATGTTATTCCACATTAAGGTTTCCAAAAGTTACCATGCAAAAGTTATCATGCAAATGAGCCCTGCAGGTGGAGTCTGCTGTCTAAATTCACTACCTCTACCAACTTGGTTGCTACCTCTCCCAGTTTCCAATAATTGGTCTTACATGGACACTCTGGTGTCTGACAGATTAACCTCACCATTTGTAGGCCCACACACAACAGTCTCTCTCCCCTGTCAACGAGTCGTGTTCTTAAACAAAGCGAGTTATTTTCTATGTAACCCCTACAGCAAAACTAGACATAAAATGGATAGCTTAGAAGTAAGTTACGAGAATGGAAGAGGCATGAACCTGTCCCTCTGATTTAATGTTCTCCATGTTTCACACAGTCTCAATTCCCCCAAAGGGTTTTCCGTTATCTCACCTCCCTATCCACCTTTATATCAGCTCTATGGATCAGATTCATTTCCCAATTTATAGATACTCTACTTATCAACTGCGTGCCTAATCAAATCAGTGACTTGCTGTAGGTGAGCTGTTTCAATCTTACACCTCACTGAGTCATATTAAACCCCCATCTCTATTGTTACTTTTTAGACACGTGAAAAGAATATCAATTTAATCTGAGCCACTCTACAGAAGTATGTTTTCAAGATACAAGATTTCATATCCAAGACTGAAGTAATTGTCCCATATTGTATTTCAAGTTCAAGTACATCTGTTAGATTCTCATCAGTAGTTGTCACTAGGCTTGCTCTACTCACTCTGTATTGCTGCATTCTGCTTCTCTTTAAGTGGTGACTTACTAATTTGAAGCCTCCATATCCTAGTATGACTAATAACACTGCACAATAAGGGCAGACCTGGGTACAAAGTCTCACTTCTAAACCAAATCCAGACTCACCAGCAACCCCATAGTGTAAACAGATGTTATGTTAAATGCTGTTTCTAAATTATACATCTACTGCCAAATCTACCCTCGCATTCAGAGATGTAGCTTTTTGGCAAACTGCGTGTTTTGGTTAACGTTTAATACCAGTTCTTCAAATAGTTGTGAAAGTAATTTCCTATGGCATTAGGACACGGAAAGCTTTCAGCTCTAGGCACCAAAACATCTTAACTAGCTTAAAATGGAATGTTATTAAAACATATTTTCCTACAGTAGATTCATTAACACTACATTTAATGGTTTTAATGTGTATTGGTTACACTGTGCTGATTACAGAGTTACAACACAAATTAGTGGTGTGTTAAAAAAATAATGTCTGTTACTGCTTGATACCCCAAGCAACAGTAAGACTCACAGCAGCTTGCACAGCACTTGTCAGCTCTACATTTGGAGCGCTTTACAAATGTGTGTTCACACCCACTTTTCAGATACAGGAACCAGGAAAGATTATATGACTGTTGCAAGTTACCACAATGACCTTTCAACCAGTCAACAGAGCAGTCCGAAAGTCTGCAGAGTTCAGGCCTGACAGGTCAAAGAGATCATCATCTTATAGGCAGATTTTCTTAGCGTTACTTCTCAATGTCTGACTTGGCTACTTAGACCCTGCAAAAACATATACAATATACTCTAGAAACAGGGAAAACGTAGGACCATCCTCTAAAATACTGAAGTACATATAGAGGACACAGACCGACTCCTGCAGCTATTGAACCCTCTTTACCTTATTTCAGCATTTGTGCTCTGCACAATCTAAAAATTTCCCATGTATTTCCTTCCCTTTTTTAAATCTCCTGCCTCTGACTGACCAGAAGAAGGTCAAACACAAGCTGAAGTGAAAAGCTGTAGCTTAGGATAAAACTAAGCTCTGGAAACACTGCACTTATTTAGGGAGCTCACATATTCAACAGTAAGTGGTTATCAAATTCACTACTGATCCCAAGAAAAAGCAAGAATTCCCAAGCAGATACCTGTGACCTCTGCACAAAGGTATCTTCTGTCAGATGGCAGTGATCTTTAGGGCCATGTGTCTATGTATTAGCTGAATATTATATGTATATATGCATACATAAACACCCATACAATTGGCGCATCATTGGTTTTATATTTCCAACATTTTGCAAAGACCAAACTCACCAATACCTAAACTCAAACCTAATACTTCAGTAACAGAAATCAGAGCATTGCCTGGATGACTTGCACCCATTAGCTGAAAGACAGAATGTTCACTGACAGTGCTTTCCCCTCCATGAGTTAGTGACATGACTGAGGGAGGAGACAGGCAATTAACTCACAAGGCAAACTATATAAAACCCTCAAGTGTTTCAGTTTTGGAGGTGGGTGCTTGTAGCTTTTTGATCTAAAGAGAGATACTAAAAGAACTGAAGTTTGGGGTATTTTTCAGAAGGTTATGCAATATGTTCTGTTAAAGTGAGCCTCACATAGGAATGCCTGATGTGGTACTTCACAGGGAATATAAAGATCAACAGGATTAGTAATTTTTTCTTGCATATTTCAATAAGACTGTAAAAGCTATCTACCAATAAACAGAATAAAAGTTAAAAACACAATACTAAGAAGTTTAGCATGCATCAAAAGCAGGTAGAAGCACATTAGTTTATCAGCCTTGATCTTTTTTCCCTTCCATGAAGTCTCTGGTATTTGAACACAGGGCAAGATGAGCCTGGTTGCTAACAGTTACTCACAAAAGCAATTGGCACTGCTGGTATTTTCAGAAGTGTACTGAGGACCCGAACACAGACTAATAGAATGGTTAAGGTTGGAAAGGACCTTAAGATCACCTAGTTCCAACCCTCAGCATCATCATTTAGGTCTTTGTACACAAACCATCTCTTTACAAGTCATAAATGCTCTCTTAGGGTTCACTGCATTTCCTGAGTCATGAACAAGGACAATATTGCTCATTAACACACCGTGATAGAGCTTTTAAATGCTATACTGGAACAGGACATTCCAACAAGAACATTCTGTGCTCATCCATTTTTTAAGCTACTACTAGATGCATTTCACAGATTTATGTCCACACAGATTTTTACATCACTTTGTGTACACTTCTTTCTGTTCCACTCTTCCTGTTCCTTTAAAAGGAGGCACACTGCTATCAATGATGAAGCAGACTTTCATAAACCTCAGCTGACATGGAACAGTGCTTTATGCCTTCTAAAAGTCCAGTGGCTATTTATGAAGCACACATTAGTGGATTCATTCCCATTTCATGATGCAGCAAGTACTTTGCCTTGCTACTTCCAGCTATGCCACTCTGTGCCCTTTGTCTCTTGTGACGATCAAAATCAAAAAAGCAGAGAATATAACGAACACTGTGCAGGCCACCATGGACACTTCAATACTCTTGCAGCATGTCATCAGGCCAAACAGTATGAAAGTATCTACCAATAACTCCCCTAAATTCTCACTGTAACCAATCTTTCTTCACAAGGATGTTACAGTCTTTTTCTACTGCCCAAGCTCCTGAAGGCATTCACTTCACAAACACCTTCCATAGCTTGTGCACATGTATCAGCTTTTTGCCAAGGCGAGTCTGTGCAATGTGAAATCATCAGGCTGGCAATAGCTCATACCACAAAGCTGAGAAAGGACTGTTTACTTTCACAACATTCCATCTTTAAATACCAAGCCTGGTACTTTAAAAAACTATATTCAAAATGAGTATGGACTCACTGCCAGGCCACACAACTTGCCAATTAAAACTACTGATTACAATTGTTCTGTGATAACAATTTCAAGTTATCTTTAAAAGGGTGGCTTCATTATAGAAGAGCCTGAAGACTTAATGCTTGTTCACTCAGTCTGATAAACGACATAAAAGTTTATGAAAGTTAGATTTCAGTTTAAAAAGAAGCCAACAACTTGTAAGTACAATTGTTATACTTCCCTCCCCCCCCACCCCCCTCACCCTAGAATACAAGATGTGTTAATGCTGATGCCTACAGTGTAAGTGAGAGAAAGTCAGTGATTGAGACAGTATTTCAATACAGTAATAACTGAAAGTGAAGAACTGGTACATGTTAATCTTTAGAGCATCATCAAGTAGTCAGGAAATACAGACACCAAAACCCAAAGGAACTGGAGACTTCTTTGTGATTCACAGGCATACGTAAGTAACAAACTCACCAGCTACATATTTGCTCATTCCCAGCACAATTCTCTCCAGTGCAATGGGATAAGGCTTATCTAAGCTAAGAGAAAAACCTCATTTCACATAAAGCATGGTACCTGCAACATCATCTGGGTCTGTTACAACGTGTGCATTGAGCTCCTGTAACTTATGATGCAAGTCTTCCAACTTCTTGTTTGACTTTTTCAAGATGTTGTCCACATATGCCAAGTTCTTTTTATCTGTTGTGACCTTCCTGAGGTTCTCTGCTCCCTCCTTGATTTTAAGTTCCTTCCGTATTTCCCGCTTGATTTGGTCCTTTACTTCATCCAGCTTCTGCTGTACCATTGTATCTGCAAAGTCCAACTTTTGGCCAGTGCTCACATTCTCAGAGGTAAGGAGACTTTTGGCATCCCCCTAGAAAGAAAAACAACAAGATAAGTACCAGCAAACACTGTTTCTTGACAACATGCACTGCACTCTTAAAATGAACACGCTTTAGGCCTCTCTCTGTGTATTAAAACACTCCCTTTGTAAGGCCATTTACTAGCCATGGGTCTACGCTCATGTTGTCCTAAAGCAATAACGTCACAAGACATGACATGTTAACTGCAGTTACCTTTTGCAACAGATTTATTTTAAAGTTAGTGACATCTTTACTATGCCTATTTTTAACACCCGGAGATTTAAATACTTCTGGATTGGTCATGGCTGCTTGCCTGGTAGTTCTGTGCCTCAGAGCTCATGACTCATGTTTGTGATTGTCTAGATCTAATTGTGTGTTTTAATAGACCAAATAGTTACAGGAAATAAGAACAGCTTCTAACAGTTATTATCTATGATGAATTCTTATACATTCATTAGAATAGATTCCTTTAAAAGACTGTAAAAAAAGAGTATTCAGACCACCAGTACCTATGAGATCTTACTTGCACCTACTGTATGGTTGTATATCATTGAGAAGTACAAAGGGCACGTTACAGAACCTACACCAATAAAGTACAAATCATTACATACGTAATAATACTTCCTGTATGTCTTACACATGAATACTAGGCCCTATTCAAGCAGTCTTAGCTAGAGCTAAGTGAGTGAAGGTCAGAGAAGGGTTCTCCAGAACTTAGACTCCGATCCAGTCATAGTTCAGGATGTATTTAGTAAATGTGGGGCCTGATCTGCATGGATCTACCCAAAAAGACCAAAATTCCAGTAATTTTTCTTGAACATAATAAAGAAATTGCCCAGATTTCTGAAATATTTGGGAGAACATGAAGGTATTGTAAAGGATGATAAAAATTTGCAAGTTGTGTGTAAAGTTAGATGTCAGTACTATTTCCTGTTGGAAGCACCAGCAATACAGCAAACTGTAAAAGGAAACATTCAGGAAGGAGTTTAAGAAACACAGCATCAGACCAATAAACTGTAAAAACATCCTAGAACCCATCATCTCTAGATACAGCCCACAGTGACTTGTTTGCTTTCCAAAGAGTCTGAGACAATGGGGATCATGACAGTTGTGCCTGTGCTGTACGTATCAACAGATAACGCTGGTCAGACTCCTTCAATCTGTGCATATTCCACTGATGCTGCCTTCCAGAAGGAAGATCCAATCTACAAGTCCTCAACTATAATTCTACAAGTTGAGTAAATCATCTTCAAACCCCTCTTTTAAAACATTTATACCCATAGCTGCTACCTGTAGAACAAGTTAGAAACTCAAGGACTCCGAGATACTAAATGCAGTCAGAATCTCTACCCTGCCACAGAATTTGTCTATCAGAGACTACAAACAAGCAATTCAGAAATGACAAATTGAGTAAGCAACAAAAGGAGGGGGGGGGAGTAATACCTAAATCGATACCTAAAGTGCACTTGTGATCCCTGCAAGTACGTTTCTGTCCGTACACACTAAAATAAATGATTTATTATGGAGATGTAGAAAGCCTATTAATAGCTGTACTGGGAAATACATAACACTGCTTCCATATATAGGCCTATAAAAAGAATCAACCTTTTTTTTTCCTATAGAATAGTCAATAGTGATAAGCAACTAGTACCAAGGGTTCATATCCATAGTGAGGGAATTCAACCACTATGTGTTGAGTGGTTTCTTTTGAGAAACAACTGAAACTGACAATAAATTAATACAACTATACAGCAAATCAAGTATACCCAAATTAGATTCAGATCTTTGATTTCCCTGGTTGTCAAAGACAAAAATGTAGGATGTAAAAAAACCGCTTCAAGATTAATATACTGCTATTTAGCCTTTAAAAGCAGGGATCAAAACAGTAAATAACAAGTGTGTATTTTTAAACCATAATCCTTTGCACTTGTTCTGCAAGCTTTCTAGAAATAAACTCATCATCTACCTCTTTCTAAGCACAGTATTACATTTCCCAAGGTTCACAGGACAAAGACTACTAGTGAATGTAGGAAAAAAAAACCAAAAGACAAACCCCAAACCAAACCACCACCCCAACAAAAAAACCCTCTATAAATATACCCCCAAAAAAACACCAAAAAAGGACAAACAAGCCCCAAACCCAACAGAAAACCTTTATCCTGTATTCCAATAGCACCTGAAGTGTGCTAAAATTATACCAGGAACATAAACTTCTTAAACAGAACAGTGTAATTAAAATATAAATAATTCAGAATTATTCTGGACTAGGGTTTCCTAAAGACACTTCAGTTAATTGTTTGTATTGAACAAAGCCATATGTTCAATGGGGGAGGGTATTATCCATCTCCAAGCCCTACATGCCACCTGTTAAAGGGATGTTACATTCTTCCATAAACAGGTTTTTGGAGCCCTGGTTCCAGATACAGTGTCTAACAAGTCTTCAATCAAATTAAATCTCCATGGTCATTTGTGATTTGCATTCCAAATTTCCAGTAATCAAGTTAAAGTTCTCCTCAGCTTCGGCAGTCTCTGCAGCATCTTTGGACTTAGGGTTTCAGGATATAGAGTCTATCTGCTTGAGACATGTAAGATGTCAATATTGGGGATACCAACATTAGTTACATTGCCTATTCATTTCAGCATTCATCTTTAACTGCCCCCAAAGCCACGGGTGATACTGCAGTCTCTCTAATTACACTTTTAAACTAGAAGTGTTCTGTCACCTAGTTACCGAGATGTGTCACCTGGCACAAAGGTGAAATAAGCAGCCTTCCAAGGAGGACACTGTGCACTCAGTGACCCTGAAGGTCACCAGGAATGCCGAGCAAGAGCATGTTTTGCAAGCAAAGTCGCTCTGCTCCTGTGCTGACACGTTCTGCTGCTGGGAGGTAACACATGTTTGAGACAGATCCTCATGCTAGAGAGATGAGCAGCCTCAGCAATGCTCCATTTTAGAACTGATGGACACAACTGGACATAGCATCAGATAGCTGAGTGAGAAAAATAAGGTAAGATTTTTCCTTTAAGGAAAGCACCTTCCAAAATCCCAAACTCAAATTCCCCTTTTAAACTGAGAAGTGACTTAAACCACAGGATATTCCAGCTTGATTTGATGACAGCCTATTACAAGCCTCTTGTTAGAGCTGAATATTCTTCCAAGAAAACTTGTTTTCCCATTTGGATAAGCTCTGTCCCAGGTTGAGCCCCGCATCCATTAGGACATAGGTTTTCTGTCACCTCAACCTGTGAATTAAGTAAGTCAAAAGAAACAACAGTTGGAGGCAGGGGCCAGGCCCTTTCCTTTGCACTGCTCAAGCAGACAGGTTGCAAAGACAGAAGAAATCACTCATGTTCTCTATGCCAAGAACCCATCAATGGATTTTGCACAGCCACTTCCTTTACTCTCCCTTCCAAAATCATTTAACATCAGATAGCTTAAGAGTGGAAATGCGCTGCAGCAGACAATGACTAAACCACTCCTGCTGGCAAAACAGAGAGCAGGCCTCACCGCTTTAGGATCCAAGACAACAGAACGGGCAGCCAGTTACTGATTCTCAGTGTCTTTTACAATTCTGGTGGTGTTTTGACTGCTGGTTAATAGCGAGGAGCCCATCTTTGTTGGGTGGCCCCACATCATCCCTCACACCTCTGCTGCTGACCCAGTTCTTTGCCCTGACAGCAGAAGAGGGCAGCCAGCACCCGGTGCTGCTCTTAACAACCTGCTTCTGGGCTCTATGGAAAGAGATTAGAGGCAGTGGTGCATGCTTCTTAGCAATGAGAAAATACATGTTTATGAGCCAGGATGGAGAATTTGGAAACATTTCAGCATATAATGAAACTGAGGCTATGTTTACTACAATAAACTAACAAGGACCACAAATTAGATATTACTGCTTAGAGAAAAAAAGAGGAACCCACATATACAGCTTTCCTCCTGCAATGGCCTAATGACTCAACCTCACTTTGATTGCTGGCTCCAAGACTATCTATTTACACAGATGAATTCAAGATGCCAGCCTTCAATTTCTGTACTCCTGGGAAATGGGTTCAGTATAATTGCTGAAAATAATGGGTAGTGGTCTGAGCATGTCTTTTAATAACACACAGTCTGTTCTGGCTGATGCAGTGGTAGAGAGCCATGAATGTTGTTTATGGAAACCCGGGGGGGCCTCATACTTTTTCTTCAGGTCAGTCCTGACCAAATCATCTATGAGGCAGGTGCCTTCCCAAACTGTATCTACCACCCAAGCTCTCATTTAAGGTTAGAACACCTAAACTGATGAACAATGAGGTCCTGCTGAATAGAAGAGAGTACCATGAAGCTGAACATAATCAGAGCTTAAGCTGTGTAAACTAAATGACTTCCAATTCAAAATGAGATTCCTGAATTGCCACCTCTCAGAAGAAAAAGATAATGCTAAAATCCTGGGCATCAGTAACTCCCAAAGACTCGCTCCTAAGAGCGCAGTACAGCTGCACTGTGTTATACCATGTATTCACCATAGAGAATCTTAGATAGGGTAAGAATTCAGATTGCTGAATTCTGGTGCTAATTGTTATAGGATGGGAAATGGAGCCTTGAACTCCAGCATGTTTAAACAGCTGACAGCACTCATGCACAATATTATTTACACTTCGCACTGATGTGTTACAAGCACACACTCAACCTGCCTTTAGGAAAACACCAAAACAACATCAAAACTCACAGTAAAAGGGTGTATATTTTTTCCTAAAGCTATTAGCATTCATTTCCGTATGCTCTTGGATTTTAGCAACCATTCCAATAGATGATAATAGACAAAGAAATAACAAAATCTGTTTGACAAGTACAGTTGCTTTGCTATTGCATATAAGAATACTAATTTAAAATACAAACCCAGACAGACTAAAAGTTTATTAGTTTTTCACTGTAGTTTGAAGAACTGGAAGCACAGTTTTGGAATTGTTCTGTCTTTCAGTATCATCTTCTCAATATTATTTTAGGAATACAAAAGCAAAATAGAAGAACTGA